TGAAGTCGCCTAATCTCTTGGTAGATAAGAATTGGAATGTCAAGGTATATGTCACTTGACTTGGTACTCTGGCATACCACTTTATCAATCTGTATGAATTGAGTTTGAATGTGATATATGATATTTTTCAAAAATGATTTTCCATGTTCTTGGGTGACAATTTCAAAGTGTGCCTAAAACTTCAAGGCATTTGAATGGTTACTTATTTGAGTTCCAGAAGACATTCATTAATAGATTCATATCTAACAGAATAACAAGTCGATATTAAATGGCATTTTGTTTAGGTCTTGGCTAACTAGTGGTTACTTTACTGAACTCAAATGTTTTAGTTTTTTAACTTGTGAGAATGCAGGTGGGTGACTTTGGATTGTCACGACTGAAGCACAACACTTTTTTGTCATCCAAGTCAACTGGAGGAACGGTGAGGTTTATAAACTTGTGATTAGAAAATAGTTGTATGCTCCATTACTGGATATGATTTCCCAGTTTTTTCTAGTTTAATTTTTGTGCCTTTCTTTAATTTTCTAACCAACTAGTATTTGCCTCGATAGCCTGAATGGATGGCCCCAGAAGTTCTCCGAAATGAACTTTCAAATGAGAAGTGAGTTAAATTGCTTTATGTTTTTCTTCTGCTGTGGTATTTTGCTGTATTTATAAGTTGTGTTTAACTTCATTTCCTCTATTTTCTGTTCATTTTAGTATTTACACATCTACGAAGTGTTGGTTTCAAAAAATCATAACTTGTTTATTTGTTCTTCTTAGGCAGGAAAAGAGAAAATTTTATTTTATTTTTTTAGGTAGGAAAAGAGATTTCTATTTGTAGAGAGAAGATAAAATAGAAAGGAGGACAAGATTGTCTCATCAGGAGTAGACTGAAATAGTAAATAAATTTAAATTTTCTACTCAATCATATAAATCTTCTGTAAATCAGTCAAAGATATCCCATAAGAAGCCGGATGCTTTAGCAAATACTAATGCTATGCCAGAGTATTTGAACTCATAACACATCACAGCCAGTATTTGAAAGCATAGAGAATATAGAACGTCCAACTTCCATCTCTTCCTATTTGTTTGATTGTTTTACGCGTGACACGTGTTGAATAATGGCATTTTCAGTGTTTAATCATTCATATAATACCCAAGGAATGCCCGAGGGAGTACAAATCTCCTTTTGTTGGCTAACGAATTAGTTGTCCCCTGCATGGCTTTACTGAATTGTCAACTTTGACAGGTGTGATGTATATAGTTTTGGTGTGATATTGTGGGAACTTGCAACATTGAAGTTGCCGTGGAGTGGAATGAATCCAATGCAAGTAGTAGGTGCAGTGGGTTTTCAAAATCGTCGTCTTGACATCCCCAAGGAAGTCGATCCCCTGGTGGCACGAATAATATGGGAATGTTGGCAAACGTAAGTTATCTACATCTGATGTTTCCATTGTTATATGTTTTCTCGTAACACTAATTACCTGTGGGGGGGGTTCATTCCCAGTGATCCCAGTCTGCGTCCTTCGTTTGCACAGCTTGCCATGGCTCTAAAGCCATTGCAGCGCCTTGTCATCCCTTCAAATGTGGAATAGCCAAGTGCACCTTTTCCCCAAGAGATCTCAGTGAATTCGTTTTTCAGTCGGTTCATTTAGAAAAGGGTTGTAAATGCTATCAAATGCGAAGTAAAAATCACAGCTCAATGCACATTGCACAAGATCTTCTTGTACAGTGAACTGCAAGTTATGTATTGGTGTATTTGTTTTTTGGAAAATTGGCTTCCTTTATTTTGTATATAAAAAGAACAAAAATATTAAGTATACAAGTAAAATACATAAAAGGGGTATTTCATTGTGTGAACTAAATTTTCAACTGCCAGAATTCGTATTCAAGTACATGTCTGGCAAATCGATACATATTATATAGTGGTGGTTTCTGACTGCTACAATATTCGAGGAAGTGTATACATTTGAGGGTTTGCATCTTGAGTGGCAGCGGCAATGTGAATAGTCCATTACAAGATGATCGATTTTCTTTTTATTTTAATTCCTTTATTTTTTATTTGTTCTTTGTTCTTTGTTTTTTGTATTGTTTTCTATAGGAAAAGAAGAAATGTAAGTTTTGCACATACGTAAAATGAAAAAAGAAAAAAAATTAAAATTGAGAAAGTGGTTGAACTAAAGAAATTTAGGATGAAAATCAATTAAAAGTTCTTCAGCTGTCTGTTTAACCAAATGTTAGGGAACTGTGCTATCAAAATGAAAAGGTTTGAAACCTAGTTATACTTTTGAAAAGATTAGCGCCCCAAATACAATTTTCTCAAAAAAAATGGTTGAACACACATGATTCAGTATGTAACTTATTTTCTAGTTTAGCATTTTACAAAATGAAATTTGGGAGCGAGTGAACGCTTTTACATACTGTGAGAGGTTGAAAACTATCCTGGGTAATATTGTTAGTAATTATCGACATAATTTCTGTTATTAATCACTTTTCCTATCACCGTCGATGATTTTCTACTAAATTTGTATCTGTATTACTACGGAGATCACAAAAAATATCAATTTGTAGATTATCATAGACAAACGTCCATCTATTGCTGATAAAAATACTGTGGTAATGCTGAGCTTTATTTCGCTCCTAAATCTAAACCTGGTCCGTGCAAGAATAGGTTAAGAGCTGAAAGTAAGTGGATAAATATGTTGATTTCGACGATCCCCTACTTGAAAATCAGTTGTTCGCAAATGCTCATGGGTTAGAGTCTGGTACTCTATCAAGAGAAAAGAAAGTCTTGCGGATCTCTCTTACTCTGATTAGTGACAGAGAGAACAAAAGAATTTTCTTTTTAATTATTTTTAAGCGGATAAAATAGCAGTTGAAGATATTTTGTCCATTTTTGCTTGGGTCGTGCTATATGTACCCGGGCATTGACACGCTCCTCATAGCAAGGGGTTTTCTTAATCGGTGCGGCCCCTCTTCTTATGATGGACGTGTCAACGCCCTTGTACAAATAGTAATTTTTTTTTTTTTTTTGCTTTTCTGAAGCCACCTAAATTGGATGAATGTCTCACATGTGCGCCAGGAAAGCTGTGTTATTGCCTAAATTTATTATTTTCTAATTTTTTTTAAAAGTTCTATCTGATTAGTTCAATTATAGTTTTATTTTTTTATTTTTTTAAATTTTTTTAGTTTTATTTGTAGTATTAGCGACAGAGAAGAAAATGCACAATTTTTTATTTATCAATTTTCAATAATAAATTAAATTTATTAAACTATTATACTATCAATCTAAGTCCCTTTTGAATCCATTAAAATTTAAATTTATTCTAAATAGTTAACAATTAATTTTATGGGATCTACCATTTTTCAACACGTAATCAACTTCTATCAAAATTTAATTTTAGCTATAAAACTTTCAAAAAGGAATAAAAGGAACAATACGTACAGTAGCGGAGATTTATGAAATTTTAGTTTTTAATTAAAAGCCTAAAAGTTTATGCACTTTTCTTGTTTAGCCTTTCTTTCTCGTGCGTTTTTTACCGTCCTGAACTTTATGGGCTGGCTTTATTAATAGATTATGAATACGGGCCCCCGTGTGGCGGAATATTGTAATTCTGGTTCCCGATATTGATTCACACCAATGTTCTAAAACTCATTCCGGACATCGACACGAAAAAGAGAAAGTGTCAAAACGTTCAATTGAGGTCGAACGAGTGTCGAATCAGAGATATTAAATAAATATTTTAATTTTATTTTGACAACAATATATAATTAAATTTTCACACTAACAATTCAAAATAAATACAAATATGTCAAGTGTATGTTTTTCGATATAAAACTTGTTTTTAATTTGTTGGATCACTTAAAAACTCATTCCTATTTCACTAAATAATTTGTTAGATGCAAAAAATAAAAATTGTTTAGCAATTTATAGGAATTGAATAATTAATTTTGTAGTCATGCACCATATGACCTTATATAATATTCAACAAGTGGGCTTTATTGAAGTCTGTCGATCACATATTGGAAAATTTTCAATTATAGGACTCATGAAAATGGATATAAAAGAACCCATGGGATATGAAAATGGGTAAATGTGTTGTCATCTCTTAGGTAACTTTTTTATTATATAATAATTTTTTTTAATGAATTAAGTTTTGGAATTTCGTCCAATCATTCAAATAGTGACTGGATCCCAATATTCAGTTTAATTGACCGGTTTTCTAGTTATTTGTCTGATTTTTATCAAATGGTTAATTTATTATAACCGAAATGAATTTTGGTCTGATTCCTAATTCTTTCAGTTGAACCGATCAATCCGATCCAATTTTGGTTTACATCTGCACATTAACATGAACTCAGTGCATCAAATCTCGTTCCACGCTTCACAGGAAATCTTACATAAATTTAATTTGTATCATTTCCTTAGGATTGAAGTCGCTAAAAGTTTGGGCTATGACACTTTTGTGAAGAGCACTGAATTGGCAAAGTTAAAATCTAAGTTCGATAAATGCATATTTGTGAGATATCCAAAAGAGAATTAGATATCAATTCTATAATCTCATTAAGAAGAAAGTCTTCGTCTCAAAATATGTCGTATTTTCAGAAAGAGTTCATTCTGTGAGAGCACAATTGAAACAAATTAGAACTTGAAAGGTTCGAGAGTCTACATATATAGTTGACCAAGTAGATGAACTTATGTTTGATCCCACACCCGTTGAGGTACAAACTCTTGATCATGAAATGGAAACTTTTGAGGACTCTTCGGCTTCAAGTAAATCTAGTAGGATTATTTGACCTCATAGCAGGTATGAATTCGCGATTACTAATAAAACATTATTAATCGAGGATGATGAATCTACAAATTACACAGATGTAAAGTCAAATGTTAATTCAAAGAGATGGCAGGAAGTCATGAAATTTGAGATGAGATCAATGTATGTAAACAAGGTTTGGATTTTGGTCGACTAGCCTGATGGGACAAAACCCATAAGCTATAAATAAGTTTACAAGAAAAATGTTACAAAGCAATGGTAGTAACAAAAGATTACCACAAAATAAAAATAAAAAGGGTTAGCTTTTATAAAATATTTTCATCTTCCTTGATATAGATGCTCAACACACGCCTTTAATTTTGGAAAGACTAATTTTAACAACTGGACGAGCATTAATGAATTTTGAAAAGGGTGAAATAATTCTAAAGGTGGAAGAAAAATAACAGAACTTCACCATGAATGAGTCCGCTCGAGCAACCACCATACTTAGAGGAATACAAAAAGGATTGACCATAAAGAAAAGGAGAACTAGGGCAGACACAAGAATAAGAAGGATGTTGGTGGATTGGTTGTGAAGGACAATAATCAAAACATTGTAATTTTGAGGCCCAAAGATGAATTAAAAAACAATTCTCAATGCAATCGATGCAAGACTGAAATCTTTTCAAGTGACCATGAATAGTCAAAACATTAAAGTCAAGCTAATAACTTTATACAAGCGCTATTTGGGATGCAGCCCAACTTTCTTTCCTTTTATTTATGGTTATTGATCTTTATTAGTATATGGTAATTTCATCCTCATATTTCTCTTTACGGTGTGTTTAAGCTTATTATGAATTCTTCCATGTGATGATTGATTTCTAATTATTCTTAAAGAACATTACAACTGAATACACTGGACAATGGAAAAGACATAATGAGTGATCCAATACTTTCAAGTCAATCCATCCATCACATGTAGATTTACAGGGGAGTACCTAGTTCCTTAATTTTTATATATTGCTTTTTATATTTTTAGACATCACGGGCAATGCATATTATAAGTTTGGGATGAAAATCATTGAGTATGTTATCTATTTTTATTGTTTTGTATGTCTATTCGAGTGATTTATTTTTTTTCAAAAATTCATAGAAATTATGTATTTTCAGCTTTATTATTGTTTTTGTGTGCTTATTTGAGTTAAATAAACTTGTCAACTATGATGCATATATTTGGAATCATATATGATATTATAAATTGTGAAAAAATTGCATGTTAGGTTAATTTATGCTTATTCATGTGAAACTTGATGTTTTTTAGCACAAAGATTTATGTTTTGTATCATGAAGGGTAAATTTGATTTAATTTTTTTATTATGTTGAAAAAAAAATTAGTAGATTTTATATGTTAAATCCAAAAAATTACTAAATAAATTTAATTTAAAATTTTGAATATGTAGAAAAAATTAGTAGACCATAGATGCTAAATCCAAACGAACACTATCAATTCTAGGATAATTTTGGAGGGCAATTGAACTACTATAAGGAGATATTGAGATAATGTAGATTTTGTGTGTGCTAAATATTGTGTTTATTGTCCTAATACCAATAAAATGAAGGTGACCTATTGAATGTGTTTTCTATGTTCTTTGTGACTAGGTCTATATTAGCAGTGACAATTTGTGATCAGGTCTATGTTAACTGTTACTATTTGTGATTGGGCTTGTATTAATAGAAGTGAGTCTATTTCATAAGTTTTTATCATGAGTCTATTTGTGACAAAGACATTAATTTCTAACATGAGTCTATACTTCATAAAATGTCTGCATGAACGTGACCTATTAAATGTGCTTTTTATATTATTATGATAAGGCCTGTGTTAACTATTATGATTTGTGGTCAGGTCTATCTTATTAGTGACTGTGTCTATGTTAACTAGGATTGTTTGTGAACAGGTTTGTGTCAACGTGACTGTTTGTGACATGTAATGTTAAATGTGACATTTTATTACATATACATTATCAACATCTTTTCATGTACAGAAATTAAACTAAACTCAGATGATATAAGCCCGAATAATTCTGTTCATATACATTGATTTCATATATTGAAAAAAAA